CCCTGAGCTCACATCCCCATACAGGGGTGGCTGATCAGCTCCAGACCAATTTTGCCAGTGATCTGCGCAGCATCCTGAAAACCGTCTTCAAGATCGTAGCCTCACCAGCAGAAACCTCAGAAGAGACAGGCGGCAGTAGTGCGTAACAGGGCTGGCACGAGGCATGGCTCCTCCTGTCCCCGGGGAAATGGGGCTGTGATAACAGCGTGGGGACAGCATAGCCACAGTGCCCAGCTGGGGATGCTGGCAGCCATGGCGTGCAACATGTCCCACCACGGGGACACTCGCGGGGCTGAGCCCTGCCCCGGTTCAGACAGATAAATAGCTTTGTCCCCACAGAGGATGAGGACGGCGAGCTGTGTGCAGGTGATGTGCCCCACGTGGATGACTGCCCCCTGTGCCCCAGCCCCAGAGATGCCACCGGGCTCCAAAGGGCAGGTAAGGGGCAGTGGAGCTGGAGGGCGGTGCCAGCTGGGTGGCTGTGCTCTGACCGGGGCAGGGACTCCTGGTAACCCTCCCGTTGCTTTCCGCTTCACATTTCCCCAGCAGGAGCGCACAGACGGCCCGAATGGGTGCCGGACAGCAGCAGCAGCCACTGCTCTGCCTGCCGTGCTCCCTTCACCCTGCTGCGCCGCCGCCACCACTGCCGCAGTTGGGGGAAGGTGGGGGGGGGGGGGGGGGGGGGCTGGGCCGGGTGCGGGGCTGCAGGGCCGTGGTTCTACTCGGTGCGGCTCTCTCTGCAGATCTTCTGTGCCCGCTGCTCGCCGCACACCGCTGCGCTGCCACACTACGGCCAGCCCAGACCTGTGCGTGTCTGCACGCACTGCCACGCCACGCACCTCCCGTCCTGGCGTAGCCGCACCCGCTGAGGGGCCCTGGCTGCGGGACGCGGCTGTGGGGCTGCTGGGCAGACCCCGTACCCGTGGGGCCAGGTGGGCGCAGGACCGCTCGCCCCGTGCCCGCAGAGCCTGGCGCTGCTCCATCCCCAGGGCTGAAAACGCGCCTTGTTGCGGTTTTGCTTCGTTCTGTTTTTTTGCAGGTGAACTTTGGCTGCTGTCGGGCCCAGGGCAGAGTCTCTCCCCCCCGGGGACCGTCATGAGAAGGGCGCGAGCAGCCCTCACGTGACGGCACCGCCCGGGTGCCGATGTGGGCCAGGCCCTCGGGGGGCTCCGACACCGGCGGGATCTTAATAAAGAGATGGAACAGCCGCGTGGGCCGGGCCGAGTGCCGCGCCGGGGTGGGTGGGAGCTCACGCAGCGCGGCTGCAGAGGTGCGCGCGGCCTGCAGGCGCAGCCAGGGGCGCACACGAAGGTGCACGGCTGCGCCTGCCGCCCCGCGCGTCCACGTGCACGCAAGCACGTGCCATCCGCGCCCGTTCAGCGCACACGCGCGCCACGTCCGCACGCCTGCGACGCGCGCGGGCCGGACGCGCACACGCTCACGACGCTCGCAGAGACGCGCACCCGGTGCGCACCCACGTGACGGCCGCGCGCTCCAACGCGCCGGGGAGGGGCCGAACGCGAGGGGGCGTGGCCTGCGACCGGGCGGGCGTGGTCTGCCGCGAGGGGGCGTGGCCCCGCCCCGCTCCGATTCAAATTTGAAGCACGAGCTTTCCCGCCCGAAGTTGTTTCCCCGGCGCGCCGACGTCAGCCCCGCGGGGCCGCGCGCGACCAATGGGCGCTCCCGCCGCCCGGCCCGGCCCCGCCGCCACCTCCCGCGGCGCCCGCACCCGGCGGGGCCCGGCCGCAGCCATGGAGCGCGCGGCCTCCAGCATCCAGGTGCTGCTGCAGGCGGCCGAGTTCCTGGAGCGGAGGGAGCGGCGCGACCGGATCGCCCCGTGCCTGGCGGAGGCCGAACACGGGTACGCCTCGCCGTGCCCTGCGCGGCTCCGCCAGGCCGGGGACGGCGGCAGGTGAGCGGCGCGCGGGGGGAGCGTCACCGCCTCCCGGTGCCGGTCCCGGTGCTGACGGCCCGCGCGCTCCCGCAGGTCGGTGCACAACGCGTTGGAGAAGCACAGGTACCTGCGGGGGAACGGAGCGGGGCGCGGGGCCGGGCCGTGCCCTGTTGCGCTGACCGCCGTCCCGGCCGCAGGCGGGCGCAGCTCCGGCGCTGCCTGGAGCAGCTGAAGCAGCAGGTGCCGCTGGGCTCGGGGCCGGCCCGGCCCACCACGCTGAGTCTCCTGCACCGCGCTCGGCTGCACATCCAGGTGAGCTCAGCCCGGCGCCGGTGGAGGGGAGGGGTCCGCATCCCTCCGTTCTTCCTCAAACCTGACCGCCCGCCGGGTCCCGCAGCGGCTGCAGGAGCAGGAGGTGAGAGCGCGCCGGGTGAAGGACCGCCTGCGGAGCCGGCAGCAGAGCCTGCGGCAGCGGCTGGAGCAGCTGCTGAGCCCTGGCGGGGCCGAGCGGAGCCGTGCCGACAGCCTGGACTCGTCACAGCTCTCGGAGCAGTCGGGCTCAGATGGAGGTCTGTAGGAGGGTGAGGGGGGGGGGCATTGGGCGGCCGCTGGGCGCTGACCCTGCCCCTCTGCGCAGAGGAAGCCGAGGTCGACGTCGAGGGTGCAGGGCTCGGTGCGGAGCCGCTGGTTGGCTTCTGCACCGGGAAAGACCACAGCTACTCCAGCCCCCGCAGCCCCTGGTCCTGACAGCGCTGTCCTCCAGGACACACGCCACATCGACCCGGGGCTGTGGGGGGCATCGGGTGCCTGGTGCATCCCTACCCCAGGTGGCTGAGTAGAGCTGGGTGCTGGGCCCCACTCTGCACAGCAAAGTACTGGGGGGCGTGGAAGGCACTGGCAAACAGCCTGGCCCCAGTGGGGACATGCCGTGATTGTGTACAGTGGACGCAGGGCAGTGCCCACCCCCCAGATGCAGCTACAGGCTAGCCCTGCTGGAGCCAGGAAGGGGAAGTAAGCATGCTTAGCAATGCTTCGTGCCCCCACCATACCCCAACTCCTCTCTCTTGTATATACCGACACTATTATTGCAGTAAAGGCACTTGGTTAAACTGTGTCTGCTTCTTGTCTGTGGCCGGCAGGACTCACTGCCTGCATCCATCCCCAGAGCTCTGCTCCAAAAGCCCAGCCCTCAGCCAAGTCAGAGGTGGAAGTCGACTCTTTAATGATAATTACATCTTAGGATCTAACAGCAGCTGATTGTCAGACTTTTACAGTTAAAAATATAAAATCTAAGGATGCTCCTATCTGTTCTGGTGTAGCCCAGCTCTTGCCTGTGTCCAGCTCCTCACACGAACTGCTTCTTCTTGGTGGCTGCCTTGCTTGCTAGGTCCTTGGCTTTTTCTGTAGCAGCCAGAGCTGTCTCCTTTGCTTTCTCGGTTGCTTCCTTTGCTGTCTCCACCAGGGTTTTAGATGGAGCTTCTCCTGAAACACACAAGTTGTTGACCCGACCCCAGTTGCCTCTGCACTGCCCCAGCTGAAACAAGCTGGGTGAACCATGTCCTGCCTTCTCCTCCACACAGGAGAAACCCAGCCCTGTGTTCCCAACCCACATGCATTACAGCACGTCCCAGTGAGTTCCAGGCACGTGACAACTGCTGCTCTGCTCCCCCTTCTGTCCATGCTCCACCCCTGCCCAGCCTCCGCACAGCACAGCCTGGGCCTGGCTGTACTGCCTGGCAGCTCTACTCCGGAAGAGCAGTTGTTCTTGTGAGGGCAAAGGCAAGGGGCAAAGATGTCACAGTCAGTTTAGCTCAAGCTGGGGCCTACGCATGGACTGGAGTGATGCCAGCATGACCTGCATCTCCCAGAGACTTGTCCTATCCAGCCCTACCCTACCCTCCGCTGTTTACCTTGCATCCTTGCTAGCACGTATTCAAATCCTTTAGTGCTCTTGGTCACGTTGCTTTTGAACCTGGCCAGACCAAACTCCTGCAACAGAAAAACTTATGGAGGTGCAACCAGCGATCCTTCCTCAGGCTCTGTCCCAGGCTGAGCAATCCTAAATATATGGTGGCTCTGGACTCCCCAAGAGGTCACAAAGATTGGGAAGTGATGGGGAAAGGGGGAAAACCAGCACAGGGCATGGGTACAGCAGTGACTGAGCTCTTGAAAGAGACGGCACAGCAGGGGCTCTATGCAGCACTCACCTGGACTGCCCGTGAGACGCCAAAGAGGCTGGAGGAGACCCAGGCCTCGCGCTTCACTTCAGTCCAGCTGCTGTTCTCAGGGTTCACCCGGTAGACGCAGCGCTCCTCCACCGCCTGTAGAGAGCACAGCGCAGCTGTGAGCGCTGCCCGGGGGCCACCCGCACCCACCCCCACCCACCTACACCCACCATCAGGCGCGCGTGATTGATGTTCCAGGTGAACGTGGTCATGGTTCGGTTCTTGGGGTCCACGATTGAGTCCTCCAGGATGTAGACGGAGTGGGCGACGTTGGCCGGGAAGAAGCGTTCGGCCCAGCGCGGCATGCGGTTGGTCTTGGTCAGAAGCCGCCGGGAGAGCAGCTTGTGGTCCGCCGTCACCTCCCGGTGCACGATGTCCTCGGTCAGGACATGTTTGCTGAAACGGAGAGAGGGGAAATGATGGTCAGAGCCCGCTCCCGGCCATCCGGGCCCCACCCGGCGCGGGAGGCGGCACGTCGGGACCAGCTGGGGGGAGCGGAGGGCGCTGGGCCTGCGGGGCCCCGGGACAGGGATTCCTCGGGGCCTCTCCGGGGGATGAAGGAGGACCTCCGGGGGCTGCGGCGCACCTGTAGGGGTTGGGGTAGCGCTGCCAGAAGGCGGCGAAGACCTGGTCCCAGGGCCCTTTGAGGACGCCCAGGCTGGCGCAGTACTTCCCCATGGGCTCGGGCTCAGGGCCGCGCCGCCGCGCCCGTTCCGGCCCGCGCCTGCTGGGCGGCCGCCATGCGGCCCCTACCCTCGCCGCGCAGTTCCTCCTCGCTCGCACGTACTTCCGCCGTTAAGCCCCGCCCCCGTGCACTTCCGCCTTAAGCCCCGCCCCCTCGCGCCGCCGCTTCCGCCGCTTCGGCCCCGCCCCGGCCCGGCGCGGCGCGAGGATGAGCGGGCGGCGGGTGGACGCCAAAGTGGTGCTGCTGGGCCAGGAGGGCGTGGGCAAGAGCAGCCTGGTGGAGCGCTGCGTGCACCGCCGCTTCCGCGCCGGGCCCTATCAGAACGTGAGGATCCGCGGCGCGGCTGCGGCCCGACTGTCCCCTCCGCGTCCCCCCGCGGTCCCCGGGTCGGGTGTCCCAGGGCCTCCCCGCCTTGTGCTCCTGCCCTCCCCTTCCCCTCCACGTCCCCGGGCCGGTCCCCCTGAGTCGGGTCCCCGCGGTGCCCCCACGGCTCCGCTCTCCCCGCGCGCCTCTATATCCCCCATTGTCACCCTGCCGTCCCCGGAACGTCTCTCACACCTCCGTCGGCCAAATGCCCCCCGTGCCTCTGTGCCGGCCTCCTCCGAGTCCTCGTGTCCCCTCCCCAGTGCCGAGTTCCACCGCATCTCCAACTCGTGGGTTCCCCTTTTGTCCCCATTTCAGACCCCTCTGTGCCCCCCCCCCGGCCTCACCGTGCTTCCACCACTTTTGCAGACGATCGGGGCTGCGTTCGTGGCGAAGGTGCTGTCTGTGGGGGAGCAGACGGTGACACTGGGGATCTGGGTGAGTGCTGAGCAGAGCACCGTCCCCGCTCACTCCCTGACCCCCCCACTGCTGACCGTTCCCCCTTGTTCCCCCAGGACACAGCGGGCTCCGAGCGCTACGAGGCCATGAGCCGCATCTACTATCGTGGGGCGCGAGCTGCCGTCGTCTGCTACGGTGAGGGCTCGGGGTTGGTGACAGCGACAGTGGGTCTGGGGGGGACACTGGGGCCTGGGGCAGGGCCTGACACCTCTCTCCCAGACCTCACCAACAGCAGCAGCTTCCAGCGCGCCAAGTTCTGGGTGAACGAGCTGCAGAACTGCGAGGAGGTAACACTGAGGATGAGTTCCGTGTTGGGGTTGTTTTCTGGGTGGGGGCTCATGGAGAGGCTGGGGACAGGGAGTGGTGGCAGTGCCTGCTGCCCTTGTGCTACTGTAGGGCTGCCGGATCTACCTGTGTGGCACCAAGAGTGACTTGCTGGAGGAGGACCGGAGGAAGCGAGACGTTGACTTCCACGACGTGCAGGACTATGCCGATGGTAGGGTCTTTCCCACCGCCCAGATCCCACAGGGCCCAGATGCTGCATCCACCCCTCTCTGGGGGCTGTGGGGGCTCCCTGGGCAATGGGGCTTTGGCTCTGCCAGGAGCCTCCTCAGCATGGCATATCCCAGCGTGCGGGCCAGGGCTGGTGCCAGCTGAGCCTGGGGAAGTGCACAGTTGTGTGCTGGGCCCCTGCCAATGCTCTGGCAGCAGCCACAGCTGAGGGGTGGCCCTGGTGACAGCTGAGCTGTGGGCATGTGCTGTGCCCACAGCAACAGCTAATCTGGGCCTTTATTTCAGAGGTCAAGGCAGAGCTGTTTGAGACCTCCAGCAAGACAGGACAGAACGTGGGTGAGTAGCCCCATGCCGTAGCAGTGCCATGAGTGGCCGTGTGTGGGGAACTGTGGGCACCCACACTGCGCCTTGATCCCTGCAGATGAGCTGTTCCAGAAGGTGGCTGAGGACTACGTCCACTTCACTGCTTTCCAGGAGATGACAGGTGAGCACCCACTGCAGGGGGACCCGCAAGGAAGGTTCAGAGAACAAACACTCGGGGGGCTCACAGGTCCCTTTCTCCTTTGCTGTCTCTGTAAGCTTTGTTGGGAAGATGTTCTCTCTGGGCTTTTGGGTGGGCTACGTTCAGCATCACTGCACAGAACTGTCAGCAGCCTCCTGCTCCGTTCTCTTCCAGAGGAGAAAGGTGTTGACCTGGGCCAGAAAAGCAGTTCCTACCTGTACAGCTGCTGCCACCACTGAGATCTTCAGCCAAAAGGGAACTGCTGGTGCGGGCTGCCTGCCCGCCGCTCTTTGGACTCCGTCTGTTTTTTACCTGCTGTATTTTAGCTGTGTGAGAAGCTGTGTGCAAGGGAAGCGCAGCCCCACAGATCACTCTGCTCCCTGGCCTCGGTGTATGGAGCTGCGCGGTGCTGGGAGCCGCAGGTGCCCACCGAGGTGCCCCTGCTGCCTGTTGGCAGAGACCCAGCAGCATCCATAACTTATTTTCTTGGAGATGTCGCCCGGTTCTTTGCGGATTATTTAAGCGTCTTCTATCACGGTGTACAATGTAAATAAAATGCATTGTGGTCTGAGACCGGGTCACAGGCGTGATGCCGGCGCTGTGTCTGGTGGCTGCAGCCCAGCCGCTCTCACCTGCTGCCCAAACTCATCAAGACAAAACACAGGAGGACATCGAGAGTAAAGTTAAACTTTACTTTACAGTAATTTTTCTTCTATATACAAAGAATTACAGTACATGTTCTGGGAGCACCTGGGCAGGGCAACCCTCTTTTCATTATAAGTTTCACATACACAGCCAACAGTCTAAGGGGAGCAAAATGAAAGTAATCAATGGTCCAAGACTCTCCCCTCTCCCTCTTCTAAAAATAATATACATGCTGGAAATATGTAGGTTTCTCTCACCCGCTCTGGCATTCCCGCTTCGAACTGACACGTGAGACCCGGGCAGCTCAGTGTGACCACGCGACCCCAAAGCCCCCCACATGGGCACCCCCACTGCAGCCACTGCTCCCTTCAGCGGGGCCTGAGGGCCGCAGACCTCTATCCACCAGCACCCCACAGGCAGCAGAGCCCGGCCTTGAGCCCACCACGACCCCTCGTACCCTCCCTGACAGCAAGGGATGGGGACAGGTAGCAAGGGCATCCCCTCCCTTGGTTCTGCATGCCCAGGGCTATCCCCTCGGAGCTGGGATGGGGCCGCACTCCCCGGGAGCACCAGCTAATGACAGAGGATGCTAGGAACCCGACACAGTATCTGACACAGCCACTCTCATCCCGACCTGCCAGGGCCACCCCCAGCTCCAGCCCAGCTTCCCCTTGAGCTCCCCGCTGCTGCTGCTTCTCCTCAGAAGTTCCCAGTGTCTTAAAAAACAAAAAAAAACAAAACAAAACAAAAAAAAACCAACACAAAACCCAGTTCCTTGAAGTCAACAACTCGGAAACATCAGAAAAACAAAAACTGAAACCAGCTCAGTACCAAACGGACACACAGAACATGCAGTTAGCGGACGCCTGGCTGCTTCACGCGGCTCCACTCGCTCCCTGCGCTCACGGGGCTCAGTGCTGCGAGCCTCAGAGCCACCACAAATGGGAGGAACGCGGTGTCCCCCAGCACAGGAGACGTGCCTTGTCCTGTTTTGGTCGCACACACCAAAGCCCAGCCCCAGCGACAGCCTCCGGCCCACGGGCTGGGAGCCGTGAGTTCAGCCCTACTGTGCTAAGCTGCCGAACGATTTACAATAGCACCACGATAGCCCAAGAGCTTAACCAAGGGCAAACTGATTAAAACTTTACCTTGAAATAGGACATAGCAACACCCATTTCTCAGATTTCCCTAGGAGGTAGATTCAGTGCTGTAGGGACTGTCCATCACTGCCGCTTCCCCAGCCCAGGCGCACGCCATCCCACCGCCCTCGGCCCCCACGGGATCTCTGTTGGAGAAACTTCCCCCCTCGAGCTGCCTGAGGGGCGGCCCCAACCCCACGGCCCCCGGCAGCCCCTGTTGGCATCGCTGCTGCAGGAACCATCAGCACGGAGCCTTGGTGGCCAAAGCACAGCACAAGCGCTCGCTGGACGCGGGCGGCTGCCTCCGTCGCTTCCTTTCAGAGCTGCTGCACGTTTTGCCACTTTGCTTCAACATTCACTCGCTGGCAAAGACTCATCGGTAGTTTAGGGCAAAGCACATTACAAGCAGGTTACAAGTACGGTTATTCCAAACACCAAGCAAAATCAAGTTAAGGCTGAAATTAAAAATAAACAAAGCGTTGAAGGTCTGAGGTTGCTCACACCAACACCCTGCTGTAACACCATCAGCACAAGCAGCTCACACCACGGCGTGCTCGGGTTAAAGCAGCTGACCAGGCATTACATTTAAGTCTGCTTTTTTATTCTTCTCCCCCATGAAACACGACTGCAGCTCCTCCAGCATCCTAAGCTGCATCTCCTCACCCCCGATACAGGACTGTTCTGAAGCTTTAACCACACGTCTCACCTCCCAGATTCAGTGGGCACACCTGTAAAGCTGTGCCTGTGCCTGGGGGGGTTAATGCCACATTGTAATGCTTGCACCCACAGCACGAGCTGGATAGTTTGTGCATGGAAGTCATTCTGGTTTTGTTTTGTTTTGTAAAGAGCAAAAGGTTTAAGCTGGAAACAGCAATACGGAAAGCTACCTGAGCTAGCAGGCATTGAAGGATGGTATGGAGTGATCCCTTATGGCACTGCTTTCCCACCAGCTTCAGCAGAGCCCTGGCACAGCACAGCCCCACCACCTGGAGCTCAAGGGCTGAGCCCAGCAGGAGGTTGCTCACTGCCTCCAGCACAGCGCAGCAGGCAGATCCTGCCCATAGGAGCTCCTTCACCAGCCCACTGCAGGGCACTGAATGGGGCCATGCTGTGAGATCAAGGCCACAGCAGCTGCCCCCAATGCTCTGCTTGGAGCAGTGGCAGCCCAGCCCACCAGCAAGCACACAGGCAAAGCACATGCATGGCTGCCAAAGATTCCAGCCCCTTGCGCAATGGGAAGTGAGGCCAAACCTACAATGCACTGCCACGGAGCTCCATCCTGGAACACAGAAGTAGCAGATGCCCCGGATTCACCTCATTATCAGATCTCTCTCACTAAAAAAAGTGCTGTTGTTAGATCACAGGAGCTGCCACGCTGCAGCAAAGCTGGCCAGCCTCTACCTGCAGCATCACTGGAGGCTGGAGCAGATTTTCAGCCATTCCTCCCGCATGAGCAGCCAACCAGGGCTATGTGTTTTCCTAACTCCATGATTCAAATTGGTTAAACTCTGCAAGGCAGCAAAGAATTGCAGGAAATGAACCCGGCTGCTTCAGTACACGCCTCCAAAGCTGTGCTACCAGCTGCCACCACCAGCGAGAGGCACCTCCTCCTACCAACCACCACCTCCTACCACCTCCAGGTGAGGACAGGCTGGGAGCAGCAGGGGACCTTTCCCCATGCTTGGTCAGGATATTTTATGGGGTGACTCAGCACAGTCACTCCCAAAAGCACGGACATACAGAGCCCTGTGGATGTCTGAGAAGCACTGCTGATCTGACGCATCACCGTCTGGGCTGAGGGAAGGGCAGCTCACTGAAGTCAGTGTTCCGATGTAGATGGAAGGCAGCAAGGTGGGAGCTTGGATCTTCGTGGAAAAGGCATTAAGGGAGAGAAGAAGAGAGGCAGGGTGCAGTCTGCTGCAAGGAGTAAGGCCGTGGTTTCGAAATGCCATGCAACAGTTCAGTCTGCATTCACTGCTGCAAAACAAGCTTGGAGAACACTGCTCGCTGCGGGAAAGGCGCTGCTGCCGCGGCCCTCACCCCAGTGTTGGAGCAAACGATTCACAGAAGTGATTCTTTTCAAACCTGCGCTTGTGAGAATTCATCGAGAACTCCTCCATTTTACAGATTTAAAAAAGCCTGCACCAAAAATATTCACAGTTTATTTTTCATGAAACAAATAACTAGTTAACACGTGACAAAGCAAAGCGGAGTCGGACAGAGCAGCGCAGATACCTGCATGGTTACAGCTGGAGCTGGCGGGGCGGCTGGCACGGAGGTAACCCTACTTACACAATCTACATGACTACGTCCAGCTCATGGGAAGGCCTATAAATGCGAATTCAAGGTTTATTTTCCTTCTCACACAAGATAAATACTTAATATACTTATCCTCATGACCATTTTTTTTTTATTTTGTTTAGAAAAGTTGAATGCCCTTAGATTATCTTCTCTCTCAATGGCTCTGAGGAGTTGTCCTGATTCCCTTTGTGCAGGAGTCGTGCAGAAACACGAGCTGCTTGCATTTCCCGTTTCAGCAGCAAGCAGGAATGGACCTGCCAGTCTTCCCGGAAAAAACCATCATTAAACATTAAGTTTCCATAAGCCATAAAGCTTTTTGAAGTTGCTAGCTATTCTATAAAGGATCTGAAATGATTCGGACTAGAGAAGAGATGCACCACTCACTGGTAACGTCCCGCTCTGCCAGGCAGGCCTGGCCTTGGCAGCAGGGCATTGCTGTGGGGCGCACGCATCAGCAAAGGAGAACGGGTCAGGATTTGTCTCAGCACAAGCATCTGCCTCCTCCCCTCAAAGAAAACTGCAAAGCTTGTGACCGCACGCTTTGGGAGCAGCAAGCACCGGCACACCAAGAGCGACCAAGGACCTGCTTCCACGTCAGCAGGAAAGGGTCAGGCCGGAGCAGAAGCCTCCCCTTCCTGAGCACCCTGCAGACCTGCCCCAACGACAAGGATCCGCGGAGCGGCGGTGCTACCTGACCAGAGAGCTCAGGCATAGCAGAGGTCAGGTGATGGAGAGCAGGAGGGCACACAGGGTCAGCAAGGCTCCCTCAGCAGCACTGCCCACCACACACTGCTCCAGCGTGCACCGGGACGCTCCTGCACACGGCCGCTCTGCTGCCTTAATGCTTGAGAAAGCTGTTTTCACAGCAGGCCTAGTCTGGGCACCCACCAGGTGACAAAACAGCTCCTCAACTGGAAAAGGAAGAAGAGTCAAGAAGCAAGCCAGCCAGCTGCTAGAGCCCACTGTGTTCCAGTGTGAGAACTACGATTGGGTCGGAAGGACACACGCACACACACACACACACACCAACATAATCCAGTTAATTCAAGTCTCCTTTGGTTGTAGGCGAGTTAAGCCAGAAGTCACCCAGGGGAAGGTGTTGAGGTGGATCCCGGTACAGACACGGCCCCTCCGCCTCTGTGCTGCAGAGCAAACAACACAGGCTTCGCTCGCAGCTCCGCAGCGCATCGTGCTGCTGGAAGACCTGGTGTGACGCAAGCACCTCCTGCACACATCTGAGGCAAGGAGAGAGAAGACTGTGAAATCTGCTGGCTCACGGTGACCAGTTGAGAAGAGAGCGGATGGAAATTTCGCAGGGAGCAGCGGCACCCTGTGCAGGCCATGCACAGCACCAGGGGGAATTCGCTCTGCCTGACTGCTATTGCTGCTTTATAGGTCGCGATGTTTGCCAAGTACAGGAAGCACTCTGCATGTCCTGTGCTAAGGGAGTAAGACGCAAGAAGGAAAAAACTGCCAGATGGCTTCT